AAAGATCGGTTTGTGGAACATTTCTATTGAATCCTTTCCGAATAAGGCAGGCCAGTTAGGGCCTAGCCTAGGCCTAGACGCTAAAAATAGGCTTAGCAGCATAGGCTAGCCCAGTGAATTCAGTATGACTAGCATACAAAAAAAGTTAACGTTTAACATATAATACGTACAGTACCTGTTGTTTAGCTGTAGTGCACAGCAAATTGTATAACTGTACCAATAAAATGAATGCTTTTATATTGTTTTTACGTGCATTTTCGGTCTGACATTTTTTTCTAAACTGTAAACAACACATTCTTCGTGGTCACAACGATGCGACTTGTTGTGAACATCAGGTCGTGCCTCCTAAACTCTTCCCGCTAATTGGTTATTTTTTTCATGGAGTCATAGATGGGCAAACATGTGCTTGGCTGTGATGACGTCAGATCGCCCAAAGTTTCATAGTGTCTGACAGCTTGCAGACAGGACAAACCTTAGTGTAAACTGATAAATGTTTAATTAAAACAAATAAGAAACCCTTGTGGCTTTGTTTTAGAGTCAAATCTAAATAAGTCTAACAAATTTTAATTTCATTCTCTATAAATTTCCTCTGTAATTGGTAACATGTTTTTGAGGAATGTTTGAAGCTATGCACTTGTAATTTACACTGATGAATCCAACAACATCCAAATCTGAATTAGTCTTCTGAAAAAGAGTCAGGCGTCATTGAAACTTGCTTTGCGTTCCATCTTCATTTGAGGTAGAATCCAATCGATTTTTAAGGTTTTGGCCTAAGGCCATAATGCACTTATTAAAACAATGGAAGGCGTAACTTTCACTTTATCTAACATTAACGTTTACTGGCGCGTCTTTTTTAATTAATAAATAATCTCTATGGCAACACTATTGGGACTGAGCTAGATGTACAAACAGTTCATTCACAGGGTGTTGTGCTAGGGCTAGTTTTTAATTCCTACACAGTGATGATTATTGCATTATTTTGTTGTTTATTAGCTGTTTGTTTGGTTTGTAGTTGATTTTTGTGTTCCGGAATTTGGAAATTCCACTGTATATGTAAATAACAACGCTAAAGTGTAAAGTACGATATTGCCAAATTTTATTCGAAATGATAATTATATATATATGTGTATATATATATATATATCTATATATATATATATACTTATATATTTACTTACTATACATAATATTTGTTGTGATTCACTGATTATAAACATTCTATGTTTGAAAAGCCTGTTTAAGTTGGCATTGCTGAGGGCTCCATGGAAAGCACTGTATAAACAAATCAATAAAAAAAGTCTTTCACATTAATATGTAGAATAATTCATGTGTTACTTACGCATTCTTTATTCCTTCATCTGATTTCCTGTTTCTTACAGATTCAAAAGTTGTTGCTAATTGGTAATAAGATCTGCAATGAGGTTATATTTGGATAAAATATCAATGAATTAATTAATTAAAAACAATTTAATACTTCTATTTTTTAAAATCATTCTTTAAAAATGCTGCTGTGTAATGGACCGTTCCGGAGTGCCAATCAAACCTAACATCTGACCAATCAGAACAAGGCCAGGAATACGCGCGTGTGACAAACGCACGTGTTGTCCCACAAACGCATATGTTTATGTACGTTTACACTATTAATTTAGCAACAATATCCACTGGGTGGCGCTTTGCGAAGAGGTCCACTTTCATCCTTGTCAAGGCCATCATACTCATCGGCAGCATATTGTTACTAGGCTGACATACTGTGTGAATGACCAACTAAGCACTGCACATTTATAAAATACAATACTTCAGTGAAGCATATTTGAAAGAGACACATATTTGAGAGCTGATTACAAATGGCAGCATGTGTACATAGGCCAATGACAACATATGAGGCCTACATAGGTAGGCGAACAGACATCTTAGTAATAATAATTCTGGAGACTTCTATAGGGCTGGGATCCATCATTCAGCACTAATGGCCTTTAAGCCACCCAGGCTTGAAAATGAACAGAAAAAAAGAAACAAAAAATCAAACAAATCTTAAATCAGAAAAGCACAAATACAATCAAAAATTTTAGAATAAAAAAAATTGCATATGATTTCTTGCAACTTACTCTCCATCAATTGCGAGACAAGTAGCTCCCCCCTTCCCAGCTAACACATTGTATTTCCGTACAGCTTCTCTGAAAATAAGTAAACAAAAACATGTAAAAATGCAATGTGATGATTATTTGCATCATTGACTACAAAGACTGACAGGGAAAATAATAAAAATAATAATAATAAATAATAATTATAATATATAATGCTATGATAATGTCAATAAATCAAAAAGCAGACAACACATCTTGAGTTTAGGTGTTTCTATTTTATAAAATAGGTTTTTCCTAGAATTGCTGTTCAAATAAACAAACTTTAATGGCTAGTCTTCATGATAGATCCACTATAGCTAGCACTATCACATGGATGGTTATAAATCAGTAATATAAGTCCAAGTCGAGTATTAAAAAAGAAACAATCAACTCACAATACAGGTTGAATATTATATACAGTGAGTATATTATCAATAAAGCAGTAATGCAAGCTTGTTGCACTGAAGAATAACAATGCTTTGAATGTCTAGCCATTTCAGCTGCTGCTTGTTCGATAGATAGGCAGAGGTCATACATTTAAAAAGCAAGGTTTAAAATACTTTGTTAAAAGGGAAATTTGACTTTTTTTTTCCCTCATCATATCCTCATCAATTTTTTGTCCACAAAAAAGACATTGACAAATGTTGAATAGCACAGGGAGTTGTTATAGTGAGCACTAGGTCTTCCACCTTCAAGCTATAGGCGATCAGAGAGCTGATATGATTCAAGTGTTTGAATATTTCTAAATGGCGTTGATGATAGTCCTGATGGTTTTCTCTTACATAGCAAAACACATTCTAGAATTCATGGTCTTTGCCATAGACTGAAATATAATGACAGTTGAACAAATCTATCTTTAAATTATTTTTCAAGGTGTACTGTTGTTGTTTTGGAGTACCCTGCCAGAAAAAGTTGACTCCATTAGCACCAACACATTTAAACTGCTCTGGAACATTATACAACCACGCATTCAAACATAAACCATAACAAGAAATTTGACTTGACAACATTAAGGGCCCATTAGAGAAGTTATTCTATGCCTTATAATCCAAGAAGATTTTCCTGGAGTCCAGCAAGTCCAGTAAGATAGCTTTTGGCCTAATTATAAGAATACTATATGATTTTGACTGAAGTATGGAAATGGTCTATATATTACTAAACAGTTATTTATCACAATTATAGCCAGCTAGACTGTTTATAAAATGCTTTTAGCAATCTGCTCCAAAATATTCTTAAAATCACATTAATCCAAACTTTGATTTTTTTTAAATAAGCAAAAAATATTCTGTTTATGCATGAATTTCTTTGTTAATTTTTTCATAGTAACCAAATTCAATTGATTTCAATGATGTTACTACAGTATTGTCAAATTAAGCAGTTCTGACAAATCATTAATATCAGTTAAGTTACAAAATGGTAGGTTTAAGACATATTTGAAAAACTAACTTTTATGTGTAATTAAAAGTAGTACCAATAGTGTGTAGAATTGATTAAGAAGGGAATGACATGTACCATACAGACTAGACATGTAATTACAAGTGATTAAGTTCCCTTATTCTTAAGCTAAAGTAATTTTGATTTTATTTCAGTTGTGTGTCCTCTTCTCTGCAATTTTTTCAGCTACACTGATAAAAAATAATCACATATAATAAATGTTTGGATAGCCAGGATGATGAGCTTGGAAGAAAAAGACAAATTGATTCCAGGTTTTCAACTGATTAAAATTTAAATAAAAGCGCTAAGCATTAAAAGCATGTCACAACAAATTTAGCCCGATCATAATTTCAGGCTGAACTGATGTGGCTAGCGTTGAAAAATTTTTCATGATACGCCACATGAAAGCCCTCGGCATACTGACTCCAAAGCAAGTAAAGCCTGAGGGATGTTGCAACTGACGCAGTATGTTTTAATTTAAAACTATCAGAGATGTTTAGTTGTTTCAGAATATCAATGTTATATGCTTTGATGCTGACAGTGGCTCGCACGGGATAAACATCATAATAAGCACATGTGTGTCTGTCAGTTTATGCTGAAATTAGCTAAACTCCTTCTCAGAACTTTGTCTTTACATGATGTTTATATTCACATTATAAAAAAAGCCTAAAATTGGATTTAAATCTTGAATAATCAACAAGATAAGTGACTGACGTCAATCTTAGTGGAGTAAATAATTACAACAACCATCATCCAGTGACTTGTGAATGTAATAGTAAAATTCATCAACTGAAAATTCCTTGGAGCTAAATGACACGTTTGGCAATTACATGTAATCTTATCTTAGATAGAGGGTGCATTTCTAAGATATGCAGTAACACCGATGAACTAATTGGCCAGAAAGAGTCTGGTGTAGTAGATTCAGAACCAATAACGTAATCTTAACCGACTCAAAACCTGCATTAAGAGATGAGGTAAAAGCAGGTAATTGTCGTATTTACAAATAGCCAACTAACCAAAGATAGTCATAGTCAATGTACATTAAATATAGACAAATTATCATTGTTGTTTTTGTCGATAAGCGGTGAAATATTCAGCATCTTAGATTAAAATTTTCTTGTTTTGTACTCGGCTATGCTATTTTTTGCCAGTAATTGCTTGCACAGATTCAGTTTCTTGAAAACAATGACAAAACAAATTCAAAACCATACAAAATAGTAAAATATGATGTCCAGAATGGTGTCAGCCTGATGTCTCATGTGTATGTGTTCCACATTCATTTTATATGTATGCATATACATTTGTATGCGTACACCATGATGCACAGTTAGTGTGTAAGTTTATCCTATCAAATAATGTAATATTGAGTATGATATATTTAAGTATTATATATTAATACAAGTAATTATACTATTGCAGATGCTTTTTACATAAATCTGTCTAGATTATCAAATTATTTTTGAGAAAAAAATGTTCTATGCCCGTATATAGTGATGATGTGCCTGTATATGGTCATGATGTGATGTCATCATGACCATATTTAGGCATGTCACATGTTTTTGTCAATTAAAATTTGATAGTGTGGACAGGGCTTTTATTCAGCAGGGAGCAGATGTTTATGTGCATACGTGTATTGTATGTGCATGATCACATGTAACTGCATTGGGTGTGTGCGCAGTATGCAAGTAATGTGCACATGATTGCCAAGTACATGTGTATCATGTTTAAGTGTGTTCTTCCAAAGCCTTGTCTATCAAATTTCATTTGACAAAAACATGTGACGTGCCTAAATATGGTCATGACAACTCACATCATGACCATATATAGACACATTATGACTATATATGGTTGTACTATATATACAACAGTTTCTTGTCAAAAAAAATGTGATAATTTGTATGAAGCTTTACATGTGAATTGTGTACTTACAAATGTATGTTTGAATATTGAGTCTACACTGTACTGCAGTACATGGATAGTGTGTGTTCTATTGTTTGCAGACACATATCGTAAGCCTCAGAACTAATATCTCATTATATCATTCTACGGTAATAGATCCTGTAATAATCTTTCACATGGATATTAAAATAGTAAGTTATCCATCATCGCTACATGCTTCACTACTCATAATTGTTCAACTTGTATAGAGAAAGTAAACAATGTCTGTAAACACTAGACACAAATGAAAAAAAAAAAAAAAAAAAACGAATAAAAAAAAACGAAGGTGACCAGATGTCTTAAATCACTCAATCTGCACTGCACGTGAATGGAATATTTGTTAATCTCATCAACTGCCTTTGAACTTTGGATCTTCAGTAGAGATAATTACTGGAAATGCAATTAACAATCTTCTATATTTTTTTTTATTAATGTGGAAATGAATGATTAACCAAATAATAAATTAAAACCATCCACTGATATTCATGTTAATATAAGTTTTTACTGAATATTGAATTAGTGGAGCTCTGATCGCTACAATATTTGCTTATAAGCATTGAGTAAAGACAGGATATCATTTGTGGAAAAATTATGAAGATGTCAATAAATGCTAATTTAAAAGGATTATATGAAAAAATATCTTCATATGAAACAGGCAAAACAATTACTTTTGTGACAATTTACAAAATTTTACTAATAACAACACTGAAATCAAAACATTTATGATGATGATAAAGATAATGATTGCAATGTGATAATCATAATGCCAATAGTAATGAAGAGGATGCTGGTAATGAAATGTTTATGAGGATGGTGATGCTGATAATTACAATGATGATGCTGTTAATAATTATGGGAATGATGATAACGATAGCATTATGAGAATAATTATAATAATGACGATAATTATTAATGATGATAGTAAAACATGTTATCAAAAGCATAGAATTTTTTTTATAATATTCTTCTGGCTTTTTTTTTTTTTGGTGCTTTTTGGTGATAAAGCTTGACAATGTGCAATTCTCTGAATTGTTTACCTTTGGTTAGCTATACAAATCGCAAATTATTTTTTCTTATTTTTCCCCCGGAAATTGAATAAAAAATAAAGTAAAAAAAAAAGATAATGTATTTAATACTTACTTGTTTTCAAAGCTTTCCCCACCAATATTGTCCCCCTTTCCAATTTTTTTAATGAATTGAACTTCTGAGTGAGCAGATAAACGCCCTGTGACATCACACTAGAGAACATAAATCATAAAATATCATAAAAATTCAATTGATTAAATTTTTCAATGGCTTGTGTGGTATAATATATTTTTTCCAGTAGTAATGTCCTCAACTATAATGAGTTTTCATTACGAATGTCAAAAATAAAATACATCAGAGCAAGATTAGATTCGTGCAGAGAAATACACAAGACGACATTTTTCAGACACCTCATTTTATAGTCCTATTAGATGTGCAATTGCATTAGCACTTGGTAAGTAAATCTCTCCCATTATCATCACCTGTCTAGGTAGTGTTTACACTGCTGAAATTATTTACACCATAGAAAAGATGCTGTAAAAATATAACCTAGCTAAAACCCAATTCACACAAGAAAAAATGTTACTTATATCCCCTGCTAAGACAATTTAGCATCCCTGCTAAAGTGCCTCCATGTGAATACCTATATGTGTAAGATTAGCATATAACATCCATTTAAGAAAAACAGACAACGCAGGTCTGATACACTCTCGATATATTTAGCAAAGACTAGCGCATGCTTATGGGGTGCCGCTCATTTTCACTCTGTGTATAAATTGTACGACTTTTAACAATTTTTATATTTGCTTGTGTGAAGGTGAGAAGTCTGTTACTACTGATTAATGCGTCCAGGGTTGTAGGCTGGTTTGGGCCTGAGGGTGGGGTTGTGTGCAAAAATTGATAATACAGAACTAAATCCCTATACTCCAATGTTAACTTAACTTAATGGTCATTTTTAGTATTTTAATCCACTTAGTGGATGGAACTAATTTGTACCTACACTCCAATCAGTGTCTGAATTAGGAATCAGATGTATGTTACACGGCCTAACTCTCATTTGGAACTGCGTTTAATGACACTCGGGTAACTTATGACCATACTGGTACCCAGGCAGAAACCATAGAAACATACACTGGTAAATAAAACAGTTGCTATTGTACCTGGTGCATATTGGCTTTTGTTTGTGGAATTATTTTGTGTACAATGCCTACTGGTAGTCTCTTTTAATGTAGGTGCCAAAAAAATACCATTCACACCTAAAGTGCAAAAAAAAAAAACGATGAGTCCTTGCAGCCAGTAAGTTATTTAATTATTAATTTATATTTTCATAATATAGGTAGGAGTCAATAAGCACTAAATATTTCATTAGGACTGAAAAATATTCAGTAAAATGAGGTCAAAATAAAGTGGAAGTAACAAATTTATTGAACTAGTTTTTGACAAATTAAGATTGAATAAAAATTATAAATAATTTCAAACACATCAGATATACGGAAGTTTTAAATTCAATTCACAGTGCTATCTCCATGGCAACAGAACTTGGACCATTTTCAGTAAAGAGATACTTAGTGCCACAATGCTATTAATCAATGAATATTGCATTGCTCACCATATTTGTGTGAACTGTGACTCTTAATCAGTCCTACTGCTTACTTTAATCGTGACAAATTGCGAAACATTTATGTAGGTCCTCTCTCTTTGAATGCAATTGCCATCTAGCAATTAAATTCATTTTAATTATGAATTCTATAACCATGCAGGAAGAAATTCCTCCATGCAAAACTATCCATTAATCTTTCATATGTACTGGTACATTGGAGACCACATTTGTACATGTCTTTAAGATATTGATACCAAACTTAACTTTAATAGCATAATAAAGCAAAATTCAAATGCAATGCTCTACATTACCACCTTTGGTATGAGTGTTAGCCTCAAGTACAGTCTTTTATTAAATCTAACAGTAACTAAACATTAACTCAACTCATGTGTGAAGTAGCTATCTGTGGTTTATAACGACTGTCTTTTAAGCAAACCATTTATATTATTTACTTAACTTCAGAAACCATGAATCGATTCATGTTTGTACTGCACATATACCAGGCAATAAAGAACATTAATAATAACAACAATATATAAAAGAGGAATAGACTGAAATAGAAAAAAATTTTAGGGATTAAAATGATACTTTAATATTTTGAGCTTGCAAATTGTTCATTACTGCAATATTTGGAGCAAATAACTCAAAACGTTATTAAATTCCTTTCCACTTCCATTACTTCCTCTCTTGGAAAAGAGAATTAGAGAACAGAAATTCACTAGATGCAAATTGTTCAAATCAATTGATTACACAAATTAAAGTAAAATTAATCTAATTATACAAAGGCAATAGATAATTAGGAAGATACATGAATTTTACTTAATTTTATATAGTTAATATTAGCATTAAATGCTGGGCAATCTCAAGGGATGTTCTTTCTTTATCGAGTCCCTGACATTAATTCAGTTAATCTAGGTGCATATTTTTTAAAGAGACATATAGCTTCATTGAGGATTAAACCATTAAATCTCACATTGCAAGAAAATATCATAATTATCAAAGTCTACTCAGAATTTGCATTCATTTTTAATAGTTAATAGCAATTTCTACAACCATTGTTACTAACTTCCATCGAAAACTAATCTCATATATATACAATTTTGTTTCCATTAATGATAATCTCAAAACAAGCTCACAGATCCAGCTTGCGTCATAAGTGACGCAATTGTATTGCTTTTCTTTTCTTTATATTTATTCTGAATATTACTAAACACAATATAAAATATAGGCATTTCTTGTTACAATGAACATTTTGTTAATTTCATATATTTGAAAAAAATAATAATAATAATAATTTTAAACTACATTATTTTAACATGGAAAACCCAAGAGTGTTTTTCATCAATGCCGTGCAAGGCCTAAGTGGTAAAAAATGGAAATACAAAATATGAAAATAATTGGCGGTGTCAACGAAATGATAACAGATAGAAGTCAATGAAATGGCAACAGAAGGGGTCAGTGAAATTTCAACAGGAGGGGTAAATGAAATGATAACAGAAGAGCTCAATGAAATGAAAACAGGAGGGATATAAACTAATAACAAGAGGGGATCAATAAAAAGATAACAGGAAGGGATTAATTAAATGTTAACAGATGGATAAATAAATTGATAATTGATGGGGAGGGAGAAAATCATTGAAATGGTAACAAGAGGCAACAAGTAGGAAACATTAAATATCAGGAGGAACCAATGAAAGGACAAATAGAATACTAACAGGAGGGGTAAATGTGTCTAAAGTTTTAATGTTATTTTGAGTTTGATCTCTCAGATCTCTCCATAATATGTTCGGATAAATTATGTTACGTAATTCCAGACTTAAAAGCAGTGTTACTAAAAGTTGTGTTCACACATCAATACACAATAAAGCTGTTTTTGTGTATAAAGTACAAAGAACTAAAGCTCTGTCTACACTATCAAATTTTGTGTGACAAAAAAGTGTGATATGCCCATATATGGGCATGATGACATCACAGCATGACCATATATAGGCATAGCATTACTATATATGGGCTTGTCACATTTTTTTGTCAAAGAAAATTTTATAGTGTGGATAGAGCTTAATGAGCCTATAAAACCATGTTCACAAACAAGTAGACCAATTGCTAAAACATGTTCATACTAACGTAATTAATCATTGCTAGACCCATATTCACATACTGTACAAGGGATCATCCCTAAAACTGTGTCTACACAACAAATAAATCAATGTTAGATTGTTGGAAATTATGTATGAAAATTCTTCTTTCTGATTTTTTAAAAAATATTAATATAAAAAAAAAACGTTTACAATCACATATAGCTTATAACATTAAATAATTATTATGCAATATCAATAGAACTGTAGTTTATATACATCCTAAAATCTATGGAATATTGAGTTCACAACATGGGCCGAGTTACGAACACAAGTAAATTTAATATCAACGATTTGTCACTTGTGAAAGCACAGGGCAAGAAGTGACAACAATGTGAAAAAGATAACTTTGAAAGGTGAAATGAAGAGGAAAGAGAATTGGAAGTGATATGGAAATAAAATGCATGACTGGAAAATGGAAGGATAAAATACAAAATTAAAAAAATAGTATAATTTTTTTAAAAATATAATAACTATCACTATATATTATCATCATTATTTTTATTATATTTAATATTATCTTTTACCTTATACAATATTATTTTTAATATCATAATGTCAGTCTTTATTGATTTGATAAAAATTGAGGAAAAATGGAATGATAAAATACAAAATTAAAAAATAGTTCAATTATCATATTAAACTATAATTATATTATTATCAGAAAAAAATTTCAATATACAATATTACAATATTATTTTTAATATTATACTGATAATTTTATTGTCAAGCATGTGAAGAGTCATAAAAAGGAGGGCAGTTTCTTACACCTAAAGCTGGTTACTCACTGCGTGCGACGGCAATGCGATGAAGAACGCACGGGAAGACGCGGACCCAACGGATCATCTTTTTAATGAGGATCCGTTCAGATTGCCACTGACAATCAGCAGACGGCATTGCGTCGTCTATCGCTCGCCGAAAGCAAATAAGGATTTGTCGTGCCACAGTCGTACGATGCAGTGAGCGTCCTGCTTTAGAAAACATATTGGAGATACCCACTCAACAAGAGCTTTCATCTGCCATAATTAGATGGATAAACCTTTATCTGGTCACAAGCCATTTTAGAGTTCATCAAAGAAAAGGAGACACTTAAGATAATGTTGATACTACTATTAGCAATATAGATTAAAGGTTTCACAAAAAAAAAATCTTTAAAATATATATAAAAAAAACAACTACTGTATTTAGTATCAAACTATATCTCTAAGCCTAGAGTTACTTTCAGGCTCACTTTATCTAGAGACATCAAAGGCTTATTTGTGGCTGCGACACACTGCTGACAATAATCAATTATTTGTATAATGAAGAATATATTTATGAACATTTTTCCTTTAAAGATCCATCTTGTTCTTATACAGCTCTTCCATTAATCTGCTGAATTTCAGCTTGGGTACTTTTAACTGCCTTTAAATTTGACTGTTTTATATTGACGTGATAAACGTCCTTGCAGTTTACTTTGCATTAACTCATAAAAGTGGCAATGATTTCCCCGGATGTTCAAAAATAGAACTCAAATTCTTAAAATATTTCGAAGCACACATAAATTGTTAAGATGTGCAACACTTTGAAGCAGCTGATAGCATTAACCTCATCCCAACATATCAATTCAACCATTAAAAAACAAATAAAGACTTTAAAAACAATGTACAGAGAATATTTATTTATAACTGAACATAAAAATCAACCAGATTGGTTAATAAAATAAATGCTCTTAAAGAACAAGAAGATATTATGATTACAGTACTGTGCAATGAGTACAGCAGGCCTACTGTATATGATACAGTAACATGAAGCTTTTACTTCTTTGTAGAAGTTTTGTGTCTGTTTTCTGTTTGGTAGGCTTATTTTTATATGTAAACTCAAGAAATTTTCAACTTTTGTTGCATTTTGAGCATTTTATACCGAATAAATAAATAAAATGAAACAGGGTCAGCCCTAAAATTATTGACCTCATCTGACCTATTTCTACTCTCAATTTATAATATATCTGGATTTAAATAAGAATTTCATCAAAATTATGAGTTGAATACTTACTTCTCCTTTACTAATAATATACATTGTATCACCAAATTCACCCTGTCGTATGATATACTCTCCTTCTTTAAAATAGACCTGCAAAACAAAAACATGTGTCAGAAAAATAAAAACACATAAAATAAATAAATATGTATTTATTTTTATTTTTAAAGTGGTTAAGTAACTTATGATGATGTGAGTTCAGTCAGTAGAATTGAATTGGGTTTCTTTTAAATAGTTTATAAAGCTATTTAATGGTCATAGGTTTCAAATTGTTAGTTCAATTCTTCATATTCTTATTTCTATATATTCCTTTTTCTATATATTATTTTGTACTGTTATATAGACAATCTTGATTCCAAAATAAAAGATTTGATTGATATGAAATTGCATGCAATCATTATTGTGCAATGTAGAACTTACTTCAAAACTACAACATTTTCAAATGAGTTTAATCGGGGATGTTGTGTTTCTAATCATTTTAATCTCTTTAAATTTCTCGGGAAACTATTTTTAGATCATCATACAGTAATTTGACAGAATGTTGATCGAGACAAAACACATTTCTCATTTTGTTGTAAACATTTGATTTCAGTTGATTAAATCTTCTAAGAATTCTGATTCAGATACATTTTGTCCACAGAAGTATCTAAATACGGACAATATCTCAGAGAGTGAGAAATTGTCCGAGTCTCAGCGGTGATAATCAACAATGATAAATACAGCTCGTATGTTCCTCGCTCTGCAACAGCCTCTGCCGATATAACAATTAATTAGCTTTTTCGGCAAACTGATGCTCAATTAGGCATGCTCAGAAGATGCTGTTTTGCATGCTAGTGGGTTTGTTGAAACATCGGTTAGACACACAAGACTGCGATAAATCTTACAGACGCATTGATAGGTATTACGATATATGATAATTTGAGAAATACATATTGTACCGTCGGGATTCGAACCTTAGACATTCTGATTAATGTGTTCGGTTACTCTACCAACAAAGCTTGGATTTTCACATTAGGGTGGAATCACAAATATGGCATAATAAGCTATGTATGTTCCTTTTTTCCATAAGATTATCATATGGAAGAATAATATTATCAATAATATTCTCTAATTAAGACTAAATAATGCTAGTCATTTTAATATTTTCCAAAATAATTTCAAAAAGATGATTTTTCAAATTTATATTATAAGATTAAATCACTTTACTGCATGATCACATTATATGAATTGGGATCAAATCATTTCATGATCATTATGTGAGATCATATACAATATCATGTGTGTTTGCATCTGAAATTGAGACTACATGATTACCATACATGATCAGACACAGAAGACAATAAGGTATATGATCATGTGAGGTAAGATAACATGGAAATAACATCATGATATATGATCATAGCATGCATGATGTAAGATAACATCATATGATCATAGCATGGATGTCATCCTGTGATCATACTTTGTGAGATCACATTATGCGAGATCATACCATGTAACTTAAAAGGTACAGTATAACCATAACATGTATGATGTAAGATAACATTACAGTAGAACCTCGATTTTACGTACGGTACGGGACCGGAGGGCGTACGTAAATCGGGGGATTCGTAAGATAGAGGTTGGGTTAAATTTGTGGTATCCTTTGACCTAATACGTACGTAAACGCTCAATATACGTATGTATGAACGAACGATGTTACCTAGCTAGGCTAGACCTAGCCTCTAGGCCTACGAATAGAACCATGTGTTTAGTGTTTTTATTCATCACTTTACGATGTCATAATAAAGTGTTCAAATAAAACCATGTGTCTAGTGTATTAATTCATCACTTTATGTCTTTTATTTAACTAAAAAACATGAAAATATTGTAAGATTACCTATACGACAAAGGTATAACTTGGGAATTCCTCTTCATGCCTATTCTAAACAACAGAGCTGTGGTGTTGTCTGGGCCTGTTGAGACAAACTAAACCCATGTACACTTGGCGAGCCAACCAATTAGCGTTCGTGTACGTGAAACAGCAAAACCATGTGCATTGCACTGGGCGAGCCAACCAATTAGCGTTCGTGTACGAAACTATGCCTATTCAGCTTCGTGTAGAAAATTACACCAGACAAGTTTTTACATGGTTTGCCACACGAAGCTAAGGAGGAAAGCAATTATTGTGAGCACCATCGGTAGTTGTTCATTTCACTCAGTTCACGTGGTTTTAGATTATAACAACCCGGTATTAGACTCAATCAACGTTGCTGTTTAATGAAAATACGTTGCATTATGGTTTGTTTATTGTTATAGTTTTTTTGTTATAGTCTTTTTACTTATGGTTGCTCTGAAAAGGGCCGTTTGTTTTGAATATTTTCGGAGTTTTTGATGACGTCATCGTCGATATGAGGCGTACGTAAAACCGAGGGTTCGTATAACTGGGGTACGTAAAAACGAGGTTCTACTGTATATGCTGAAACATAGTCCGAATTTTGGTTTGGATCCTATGTGAATGCAGTTTTATGTTCCCTTAACTTTTAAAAAATTTCGAATTTAAATGTTTCTCCCCCCCCCCCTTTTTTAAAGCATTTCCTTGTTTTTAATATAAGGAAACATTACCTTTAAATTGAATTCTGCATTAAATAACTGTTTGAATTTGTCTTCTCCACAGCTAATTATATAAATTCAGAAATCTGTCAGCTAAACATAGTATGGCTATAAGCTTGTTTGTAATGCTAACAAAAGTCTGGACAAACCCTTATCGAGTACAAGAACACTAAGAGAAGTGCCAGAATCACATTAAGGGATATGCAGAGATATAGAACACTGTTACTGCAACAATTTGGGAAGGAAATTGTACATGGAGGGATCAATTGAAGATGGAGAGATCAATTGAACATACAGCTGGCTCTACAATGCAGCAAAAGTCAACGACCAAAAACAAAACCACTGAGCACTGCTAGTATTGACAGTTAACAAACCAGGAGCATTTCAGAAGTAATGAAAATATAACGATAATACTTATGTTGCATGCACACAATATATGCATACGACTACTTGGATTAAGAAAATAATAAAAATGTGATGAATTACAATCTGGTACTGTATGCTGAGTGGAAAACCTTTAGGAAGGTAATGATGCATCTTTGAAATTAATTAATGATGAAAATCCACAAGTTTTCAGACCTTCTACTGTATCTCATTTTGATACATTTGTAAATATAAGATGTTACTTTTTCTTTATTATCAAATACATTTTTAAAAAATGGTTTTGTAGAAAATGACATATTATTTATTTATGTACTTATTTACTTATATCTATATGACTATATTGCATGTTAATTAATGTTCTCATTGGCGTTGGAGAGCTAGCTATATATATATAGTGACTTAGTTTTAACTTGTTCTCTCAATCCAACTCAGTTGTTATTTTCTCAATCATTTTGTTTTCAGTTTCATTGTTCTTTGGACTAAAAATATGAAATGAAACATTTAAAATGAAAAGAAATGAAATGTCACAACTTACCTCATCTAAAATGTCTGCTATTTTGGTTAATGATTCTTCAGGGAAGCTCTGGAAAGCGACATTACTGAAAAATATAATGGTAATTATAATTATTGGAATAACAAAAAAAAACCAAGTTAAAAAAAAAAACTGATGTTGAGCACAATCAGAAGATAGATGTACTGTATTAGCTTTAAATTTGGAAGTCTTGAACATTTGGATTTGAAATGGTAATGTTTTTCAATGGAACACACACAAAATCACAACTGACCATTAATAATTCGTACACAAATTTAATAGAATGAGAAAAGCAAAAAGAAGTAGTTTAACACAATAGTTGCAATTATTAATTACAAAAAATCATCAAAGTTCACACTACAATCAATTAAAAAATAATCTTCTTAACAATTCCAGCTTTGATAATGATATTAATAGTAACAGTTCAATGTTGTTTGTTTAGCACATAATGCTAAGCCTGTCTGTACTTCACATTATTACCCCAGTCATTAAATCTAACATCTACGGAACACCTTTGGGAAATTTCCATAATGGTGCAGTCTATTTATCAACGCATTGGCATCTGCGCCCTCTGGGTACCCACTTATCATACTGGGTAGCAAGAATAACATGGATAAATAGTTGCCCAAGGATACGAACAAGTAGTACTTAAACCCTGGTCAATTGGAAGCACTTACCACAGCCCCATTAATTAAAATGAGGATAATGAAGACAATGATGAAAGTTAACATTAAATGTTAAAGGAGAGAAAATTCTTGAAATTCACAAACATGGTTAGCAAAATTTAGTACTCTACCCCTAACCAGGAGTCATTCCAACTCTACCAAGAAGTCAAGCATTTTATCCAGGAATCATTCCACCAATACCTAGGAATCATTCCACCCATACGTAGGAACCATTCCACCCCTACCTAGGAATCATTCCCCACTAACCAGGAGCTCTTCTACCTATACTCAGGAGTCAATCAGCATTTTAAAGGCTGAAAACAGTTAATAAGTATTTGAAGTAAAAGAAATATGACCAAGATTTGTGTGATTACATAAATATTTAAATATTATTAATAGGCAACACGATATTGAATGTGTCAAATTAAATTTTGAATAACTTACTTCCGATGGCAGCTTAAATATTCTGCTTTACTATGACAGTAAACTGCGGTATTTCTTACAGTAAATTATTCTATATTCAACTGTACCAGTTAATGGGTGTGAATCAGGTATTAGGCACATGGTGATAAAGGTGCTAAACTGAATTCTGAATATTTAATTTACCTCTTAAGCAGGCTCACATACTCCGCTTGTCGTACCATACTGGTCTTCATCATTATGGCCTGGAAACAAGGACGATCAATCGCCCATAGCTTGGTGGTTGTTATTGCTAGAAAAACCACAGCAAATTTTATGTGGAATGGAATTCAAACAAAAAAAAACCCAAAAAACAATACATGAAAAAAACAATATTATTAATGTCACAACAGGTCAAAATTTAAAGGTTGTAAACACTACATTGAAGTCATGTGACTGATTAAATTATATGTAAAATAAAAAAGCATTTTATTCCATTCACGCACATATTAAAGACAAATATTAAGCTAATAACTTTCAAATTAAAAATACAAAGAGAGATATTTCCTCTTAAATACCAAATGCATGAATAATACAATTTCTTTAATATTTGCTCTAAGCTTTAAGTCCTGTCCAGACTAATGTGACATGCCTAAGTATGGTCATGATGACATCATATTATGACCATATATAGCCACATCATCACTATATATGGGCATACAACAGTTTTTTGATAGTGTGGACAAATATAATTTGTCAGGAGTCAATCAGCATTTTAAAGGCTGAAAACAGTTAATAAGTATTTGATGTAAAAGAAATATGACCAAGATTTGTGTGATTAAATAAATATTTAAATATTATTAATAGGCAACACGATGTTGAATGTGTCAAATTAAATTTTGAATAACTTTTTAATAACAAATTGACTGATAATCATTTTCTGAATTTAGTAAAATAATTATTGGACATACCTTTGACTGTGGCAGTCCTGGTACAATTGTAAAGGATAGCCAGTTCACCAAACACTTTGCCCCTTGTCATAGTGGTGAGGTATTTACCTTCTTTGGTCACCTCCACTTTACCGTCTGTTTAATTGAATTAAAAGTAAAAAAAAACAGGTAGATGGGTGAATATAGCAAGACAGGACAGATTATGCAAGTTATGACATTTAGATAAAATATAAGACGAATATTATTTTGTAGTAGTTTGTCCCTTTCCTAATGAAATTAGAGACATTTTCTACCACATTTTGTTAACAAAAATACTTCAATATTTAATTTTCTTTTAATGTAGTCCAGAGATGTGAATGAATATTGTCAATAATTTATTACAATATGTGCATTATGCTTATAATAGAAATACTTAGCTAGAAACCCTTACTAATTTTTATTCATGTTTTTAATATGTAAAAAGGGCCGGAGGCTTTCTTATTAAATAAAAGCCTTCGGACATGAAAGAATCCAAAAGAATGCAAATAGAATAGGGTTTTACACAAAACACTAATTACTAAAATAATATTTCAATAACGGTTGAAATTATTATAATTCTAAAATATATTATTTACTTCTTTAACATTGATGTGACTGGCAATGGAATATATAATTATTGAACACGATGAAAAAATAATAATAAAAGAATAATATAGATCTGATCGAATTCTAATGTGTTTTGTATTAGTAGCTTTAAAACTCACTGCACAAGATTTATTTTGTGTTTCAACATGGATTTTTCATAGATATTTATTTATGCTTGTAAATTTTCCTTTTTAATGTTATATTGTATTCTGTATATGATTTGTAAATACATATATTATTGGTTTTTGTACAATTTCATAATTTTTAAAATTTATATTTTTTGCCATTGGCTACTTTATGTATACATACCTGAATAAAATAATTTTCGAAATATCCTGTTTATGATAGTTCTGTTTGAATGAAGACTGTTCTGTTATTTAGTTTATGAAATTTTAATTCGTTGAATGAATAATTAAGAATAACAACCGTAACGATTATAATCTTATCATCGGCATCCTACTTAATTTTCAGGCCATGTATTCATTCCCCCGCTTCATTTATTTTTGCGTTTATTTTGAGGTTGTCAATCAACGTTAATTATTATTTTCCATCCTACATTCTATGACTTTTCACAATATTCCTACAGTCTGTCACTGCCACTCTAAGCGTCACTGAACATCACGCTACATATTTTCAAGATTGATTGATTGATTGACTATGTGTCCAATCCAATTATTTTGTCTGTCTCTAATCACCTTTATCATTCTTTCTAATACATTTTCATATGATCCACCTACCTGATTGTCCATCCCCTTCTAAATCCAAAAACATTTTTTATTTAATCTCTTATATTAAATGGAAAATCAGCAAATAATAAATATTAATACCAATATTGTTATAGAGATATTAAAACCAATAATGTTAGAGAACTATATCATTGATTGTCTTTAACACTTGGTCTAGAAAGCAGACACCTGTAATATACACACTATCACAATATTGTCACAGTATTAGGAACAATTAATAATTAATAACATTAATATTAGTAATAGAAAATTATTTTTTACATCAATAATTATATAACATCAACAAATATAGCAGCTCATTCCTCAAGTCAACAGAATGTATGCAGATTTTTTAATAATTAAAATATGTTAAAATATATTCTTGGTGTTTGTTCAATATGTTACTATTTTAAATCTTTAATATTTTATGCCTTGTTCATTTGTTGATGTTTTAACTTTTTATTGTAAAAATTGTGTTTTTGGAGATCTTGATTCTTGAAATATTTTTCTTTCTTACCATAGCTGTTTATTGTTTATACTGTATGTGGACTGTCTATTTTTTCATTGTAATTATTGTGCAGGACCATCGTAAATACGGGCATTAACATCTGCCTGAAAATGTATCCTGGGTAAAAATGTTTTAGATAAAAATAAAATAAAAAATAAATACAGTCACAGTTACGTTACTGTTACCACCTTAATACCATTTAAAAAAATCATTATTATCATTTAACAGTATGTCTGTAAGTCGTTCGCAATTCTTCTGCACTTCCTCTTGACGGCGATGTTCATGTGGATGTTGGGGGAGGGCTGTCTCTTATACAGAATCTTTCAAAATTAAACAAAATTTGAGAAGAAAAGAATATTATTTTCAAATTTAAGTCTGAGGGTCTCATTTCTGGCTAACTAGGCGCCATAATCGTAAATTTTCTTGCCTCGGCCCCAACCATAGTCAGGTTGAGTTGGTGTATACCCTTCATCTGTGAGAATTCCTCCCTGGGCCCCCTCTATTTGTTTAGATTTCATACATTAACATTCACAATAGACTCTGATGCAGGCATGCAGGTATTATACAGGTCTCCCTTTAATAAATTACCCCTCCAATTAAAGACCACATTTCTGAAAATGAATATGTATCATATCTTTTTAAAAATATTTTTCTAATCTGCAAAAGACCATGAAAACCCCAGTCCCAAAAGAAGTCTTCAACTGGAGGTGATCTGTATTATACTTATATTTTTTACACCTCCATGATGTGGGAAGCAAAAACTTGTTTTGAATTGATGTATACTATACTGTACTTGTACCAACTACATAGTGTTGTATTCTTATTCTTTGTTGCCAGAAACAATACAAAAACAAACATAGTCAACTCAGGGAGTAGGCAGGAACCAAAAAGTGAACTAAATCACTGTAACAAAAGTTAAGATTCCATACTCCCTAAGTAACAATACATAACAATGAATTGTATAAGTCTTTTATCTAGCTGGAACAGAGGATGGAATAGTGATCAAGGAACCTACAAATTATCATGGATCAGTACACACACACACTTCTAGGTGTTTTGATACTTCCGTATTCCATGCTATTCCACACCCGGCAGCTTGCACCCTTATTTGCCATTTGCTTTGCTACTTCTCCTACTTCCTGTCTATTTCACAGCAACACTTCGCAATATGTATTTGTATTTGTATTTGCCATTGCTTTGCAATCCACCATTTATTGCTACACATCACCTAATTTCTTATTGTCATCATTGTCGCTTCCATCTTAATCATTGTCATATCGTAATCATCATCATAACCACTAACATTGGCTGCTTTATATAATCCACAATATTTTATATCAAACTATACAACCTGAAATGTTTTAATTACCATTTACTTGAATCATATGTGATGGCAAATTAGGTTTTGAAGGGCTCCTAAACTTAATTTAGCAATGAACAAACGAATATGATTATCATATCGTTATAACAAACGGCATGTTTTGGATACTAACATCAGGTTTGAATTGCATACAAGTTGAAGCTATTTGATTCATTACGTTATTTGAACAAATGAAATCAAAGGTTAACGGTTCGTCATATGTGCTCATCCATCCAACCTTCTTAATTACCATACTGTACTATCAAACGTATATCTTACAAAATAAAAGCTTGAAAAGGAATAGAGTTGCGACGCCATGGAAACCATCAATAACGAATGAAATATGGCTGCTTGTTAAACGAAGTTCACAATAGAGGAGGATAGCAGTTGAAGAAATTATATATTCTGAACCTTTATAATTGAAGTTAAAACATGTAAAGAATAAATCACTACAGAATGTTGAAGAAAGTTAGAACAGTTAAAGATTAAATGTGTTTCAACTGAAGACATTTGATTCTGTGATACTGTAGGTTACAAGCTGTGTGCTGAAGTGGTTTATAATGCACAAAAATAATCAAAGATTTATTGTTGAAATTCAAAGCTCAATGGATCAAAATCTTAAGCTCTTGCATTCAATCAAAATTATGTGAATCAAAAACTATGTTGAAATGATGATGATAATGAGCATGATCATGATGAAGACCAAGATGATGATGATGGCGACAGCAATGATAATGATGATGATGACAAGATGATGAATAAATAAAAATAGTTGAGCCGTACTAGTCCGATACCATTGAAAATAAAACTCTGGACATTTATTAGGGCTTTGAAAATTAATTTCATTGACAATACACTAGCACTGCACTGTGTGTCTATGTCATGATGATGATGACAATGAGGATAAGTGAATGGTGTAGATTTGAATAGCTTGGTGGTTAAGATGTTTGCTTACTAATCCCAGGGTCCTGGGTTCAATTCCTGTCAGTGTTGCAAGATTTTTTTCACATGACCAAAGAAACTCTACTCCCTAAAACTCATATTGAGATTCAGTTTGTGTAAAGCATCATGTGTGTATGTTGGTCTTGTGTAAGAGATTGTCACCTACAAGTAGGACAGTGATAATATTCACTATTGACAATCCTTGGTACATGTGTTGTGCGCCTAAGTAAATAAATACAATAACAAGGACAATGATGATGAGGATGGTGACAAAATTGATATGCCGTTGATGATGATAATAAAAAGGGTTATTGTGATAATTTCATTTCATCTTCATTTCAGAATTCATAACCAATAAAGAAAATATCAATCAGCCACATCTAACCCCAAAGAAGTTCAGTTCAAAAAATCTAGCTTTAGAAATAATAAACATAATGATGAATGATTACAATTATTAAAATAAAGATGACGTTGTTCGATCAATCAATAAATATATTGTATCCAATTTTGAAACAGTGGCACTCATACAACATGCTATAGCATACTTAGAGTAAATGACAATAATTCCTGACATTACAATAAATTTAGCTAAAAATTTAGCAGGTTTGTCTTTTGTAAAGTACATCAATAACTAAAGCAACCCTTATTACAAGTACCTTACCTTCAAGGACGTACACCAAAGATCCAACATCCCCCTCTTTTATAATGTAACTGTCTTTGCTGTACTCAACTGGATACATGCAGTCTACAATTTCTTGGATCTGCGACATCTCCAGATTCTTCATAAAGTCGTTGTCTAAAATGGCAACTTTTATACATTCTTGAGCACTGTAAAGAAAAAAAAGGAAAATTTCAATGTTAAAAATGATTTACACATGGGTTCACTTGTCTTGATATATCAAAGTGGTTGGAAGAAGCATGCCACAGGAGCCAATGCATTGTATGAAGCCACATCAGAGTACTTGGGGGAATCATGGCACAGCAGCAGAGTACAGTAGCTGGAAAAATCATGCTTCATTGGAATAACCGGAGGAATCATGTCACAAAGGAATAATCAAATATAGGAGAACCAAGCCACAACAGAGTAGCTGGGGGAAACATTACTCAATGGAGTAATTGGAGAAATCATGACACGAAGGAATAGGCTACCCCAATATTTTTGTGTCTTATAACCTGAAAATTACATTAATCAATCAATGGAAAAAGCATCATTCCCTCTTGTAAGTGGCGAATTTTATGTTTGCTGTTGGCTGGGATAATAAATAAATAAAATAAATCATATTTTGAACCATTGAATGTATAGTTAATATTTTAAAAAATGTTGGCTTATTATCTATTAAACTCAATCAAGGTTGTGGTTCTATTCTAAAAAATGAACAGCATAACATTTTTTATAAATTATCATTTATTTGTCTTTAATTTTTAATAAAATACCTTTAGCAATTCAAAAGATACTGCTTCAGAATACTGTGTTGTTTTTATCTTGTTCAGCTTAATTGAACTCAGTGTGTGTAAACAAATTTAAATTTGAAGTGTTAATTTTTTGTTCCTCCTAGATATTTAATCCCTTTTGCCTGACTCTAATCCCATTAAAGCCGATAGAAATAGTCCTCATTACTTGGAGATGTGCAGATTAAGACTGAATGGGATTACAGCATTGACTTTAGTAGAATATATGGTATTATAACATAATGTTCAATCACAACAGTCCAACTCTGCTTACACTATCTGATGACTACGAATGCTTGTATCAGTGAGAAACACGTCAATATGACATAGTAGCACATACATTAAATGTTCCTAAACATAAAATGTTGCATATCTGACCGACAGCATATGTTACTGCACACCTAAACCCGTCTTCGAAAATGCTTATCGAATCACAAATTCAAGCTGCCAAACCTTTAAGAACACCATAAGATTATCATAACCACTTACTTCAAAACATTCTTTAAATTCTTTGGGTGAACTTTATAAAATCATGTTTTTGTCGTCGTAAGTACACTTCTGGTTTCACGGACTATAATATGAAAATCACATTTATATTTAAATACAATTAACATTTCAATTAATAATTTGGTTGCAGCCCTCAGGCCCTCGGGTTTTGGTGGTCCCTTCCATATCAGCCCCAAACATGATGCCACTGTATTCTAACAAAATATCAAGTCAATTGTAATGCTAGATATTTGATACTATCTGTTAACACTTGGCAGACTTGTCAATATTCTGTACATTCTTGGAAGTTATTAACATCTTGTTTGACAGAGTGATTGTTTACACAGGCTAAAGGACTGTCAGGGTTGCTAATGAGTTTTGCCATGTTCAACAGGATAGGCCGCTCAGTGAAAGATATGCCCATGCAAACATAACACAACAACATTTATAGTAATTGTCCTCATTGAGTTCAAATAGGACAATTTGCAGCATCAAATCTACAGAACCTTATGTAATCATAGATCGTAAGAGATATTTATAATCGAAAACGATTAGCAAAGCCCAAGAAATAATTGGCAAGAAAGGTTATCATGCTTGTAGTAGTGAATAAGGATGGTTTGATGGTATAGAAAGGGCCCTTCAGGGATTTTCAATAACCTCGTATGTTTAAGACTAGGAGTACTCTAGTAGGTGCCTTGTAAGAGCAGCTTTTTAGCTCAGTTGGCTAAACTGGTGGTAGCCACTGCATGTGCGCTTAACTGTGAAAATCTCTTGCTGAAATGCAAGTTACGATGGTGCATTGTCTTTCGAACGAGACGTTTAGGCCGTTGGTCCCATGTGCATTATGGCCCATATACGTGTTAAAGAAAACAGTACACTCTTCGAAAAAGAGCAGGGGATGTCTCCCGGTGTACTGCCCAACCACCACCAGAAGGACCCACTGGAAATTTGTCTTTTTCAAATATTTTTGTGGGTTATCTTTCGTGTTTACAATGAATAAATAAATCCATCCATTCAATTCCCAAATTATTGGTTTAAATAATATTTTTAACATTTCCAATGATGCAAAACAACACAAGATATATTTGAATTTAATATAAGCTAACAATATGCCCTGGGCCAGTGAGCATCTTTCTGTTGCTTTAGAAACAGCTGACAACATAGCATAAGGTGGCATTTATATAACTTGGTTTTCGTCACAATTATCTAGCTTCAGTCTGCTCTTAGAAGGTACAGTATTAAAGCTTTCCAAGTTAAACGATACTTATGAACAGATAGCGTGACACAATGCATTTACGAGCAGCAGTATGTAAATTGAACCACTGATTACAGCACATCCTAGGTCTCTAAGATATGAAAATTACAATTTGCTGAAAGATAAATATGATAAAAGCAGAAAGAAACGCAGGCAAAATAAATAAGTAAATTTGATAACGTGCAAATTGTCACATGTTATAATGTAGGTCAAATATACAAGGTCAGTATAAGGAATCTTCTCTGAGACTGATAAACTAAATTACTTTAATATTAAGATATATATACATACATATATACATATGTGTGTATATATATATATATAGGAAAATACATAACCAAATAATAAAAGAAAATTACAATATATATATATATATATATACTGTATACATATATACTGTATACATATATACTAATGTATTAAGAATAATAGAATGAACAAATGAACATTTTCCTTGAATTTGTTAGGGCTTGTACAGATTTGATCATGTCAATATTTAGCTTTCAGTCTGCCTTTAGAAGGACAGCTTTCCAAACGGCTTTTCTATACACCTCGTCTATCACTTGTGTAAATCTACAGTAACACATCTGACTGGCTGATACTAAAGTCAAACTACTGATGATGGGAAAGGACCCAGCTTTATTTGCTAATTGCATTTTGTAGTTACCTGCAGAAAAACATGATAAGATCATGGAGGTATACTGTATCTCAAGCCAGATTGCCACACAGGGTAATTCAAATCAAACAATATGCTGAGACTCAATGTTAATTAGCTACACATTTGATGTGAAGTAGACATAAGTACTTGTACAATATTGCAAATCATTTGGATTGTGGTAACAACAGCAGTTACAAGACAATTTACATGTTTTAATAATTATCTTATTGCATCAATTAGCCATCATTTCATGCATACTATAATTATTTTAATGAATTAATCTTATGTTCACCGTGACTATTAGAGTACTAAACACACTTGCCTAGTCAAGACTTTTTTAATACCTTGTTTCGAAAACATATTTTTTTAAAGATTTTCAAAGGGCGGGGAAAAAAAATAAAAATAATTTGTTTTCTTATTTAGCAAATAATTTTGCCAAAAATATGAAGGAGGGGAAAAATAAAATTTTATTGATGAATGTAAACAGTGTAGTAATGGGATGGTTAAATGCTTTAAATTCATATAATTAAAAAGAAATATACATGCTTATCTGGGGGATTTCAAGGCAGCGGCGGGTGTAACAAAAATAAAGAAAACATTTTTTTTTTTAAACTTTAAATTTTTTTTTAATTAAAATTTTTTTGTGGCAGCGGGTATCCTACAGATTGGCCAAAAATAAAATTTAATTTTTATTCTAAATCATTATTATTAGTGGGCGGCGGGTTCGTACAAGATACAAAAAAAGTCTTGCCCTACAAATCTAAAGAGGAAAAAATTCACATTATTTATTGATGATCAATTGAAATATCATTATGGAATAAAACAAAATAAGTAAACAAGAAGACAATGAAGGAATGAAAAGTATACAACTCTGTCCACATAAGGCCTACCAAGTTTTCTTAGACAAACATAATGATTAAACTACAGGCAAAATTACCTTATGTCATACTGTACTACAAATGGGCAAATCATAGGTTTCAGCCTCTGTCGTTGTGGAATGTAGCAACTATAAGCACCTCGGCTAGGTAGTTACGGACCATGCCCACATGCAATTCAGCACAATGATGCTGCGACTAACGTTATGGGTTGTTCTCCTACCTTTACCTATTTGTCACATAAAACTAAAGTGTGAATAGAAATTGAGCATAGTGGGAATGAATAGTGTAAAACAAAGATAAAAACAAGAGGAAAAGAACAGAACAAGAAAAAGGAAAATGAGACTGTAAGTAAAGGAAGAGAAGAGATGAAGAGTATAAAGAAATACTGATGGTACAAAGTCAATTGAAAGTCACTTGTCTATGGGCTTTTTTGGTCATACACCTCTGTGGTGATATAATCTAATGCAACAAGAAATAGACACTTTGAAAGAGTCATTCAATCAACACTAACCTTAAAGCAATGACCTCAACAAGAATTTTTGTGTCAATTTGAAATCTCTTAAGAATAGAATACACTTGAATCCCACAAAAACTCAATTGACATCTATAGGAAAATGTTATACCGTTAGAATTACTATAATTACATTTCTATAGTAGATATGATAATACCGAGCTTATTGAATCTATAGGAATATTTATAGGACAAGCCTAGCCTGACGTTGGATGTGTTGCCACAAATCACACCATACAGAATAGCACTCTGCATTTGGCTGCAACTTAATTTATTTCCACAGACATTTAAATAATATCAGTACTACTGTAGTAAATACATGAATAAGCCAATTAAAATTTCTCATCTGGGTTTAGAAACTTTTAAAGAGTTTGCAAAGTGACCCCGGCAAGATGAAAATAATCGGGAAGATTTTAGCTTAATCAAATTTGACAGACGTACATTAGCGAATGTAGAAACAGACGTTTTAACACAGCTTAAAACGTGCCCATGTTACATAGCACATAAAATGAGGGAATTGTATCACTTTGGTTTGGAAACTGAATGCACAGATCAAACAACTTTTATAAGGAGATAGTTTTAAAATGTTACTGATGTTTAAGTGAAACTCTGGTAAATGCAATTGTACAGTATTGTACCTGTCTCTTATACACATCTAGATGTGTATAAGAGACAGACACACTACTGGTGCTAGGTCCTTTTGTGCAAGCGAGGTCGTTTTTAGTATCGCAGTGTAAAGAAAGTACACTGTTACTGATTTTAACAAAGTCCATAATGCATGAGATAAATGGCAGCTACTGTACTTTACTAAGTCCTCTTCTTCCTTGACAAAGGAACACAAATTATTTGAAAAGAACAAGACAGTCCTTGTTCTAAGCAGGTTGTTCAATATTAAATTGATTTTAATTTACTTTTGGTCTCTTGTACATAATACCGGGATTTTGTCAATCAAGTCTTGTTGAAGTTTTGAAGAGTTTTATTTGTTATTGTAGCTACATTTGAAGTGTTATAATTCATTTTCATTTAGTGAGTCATACTTTTGTAGTAAAACTCTTTGCTCTGCCAGGTGCATGAAGCAGTACTAACAAGCCTGCTAATGTCTGATGCTGCGCATCTACAACTGCAGTAGTGGACCTTCCCTATGAATTGACCGTACACTCTGTGTCTCCTCCACTTGTTATACTCTGGCTTTATTCGGTTCCATAAAACATTACATAAAACTAGCATGTATAAAAATACAAAGTACAAGTTAAAATGAACTAATTAAACCAGGATAACCAAATAAAGTTTTAACTGAAAGTAAAACTTATTTCCATTTTGGAATCCTTAGGTCGACTTTACTCCCCCCACCCCCAAAGTACAAAAAGGGGATTATTTTCACTGGTTTCTTCCTACCTAGCATTCATCTACAGTATATGCTGGAACTGTCTCTTATACACATCTAGATGTGTATAAGAGACAGATAATGACTGGTGATTAACAAATAATAATTGCTATTACACTGTCCATTATGTATTGCTATTACACTGTCCATTATGTATTGCTATTACACTGTCCATTATGTATTGCTATTACACTGTCCATTATGTATTGCTATTACACTGTCCATTATGTATTGCTATTACACTGTCCATTATGTATTGCTATTACACTGTCCATTATGTATTGCTATTACACTGTCCATTATGTATTGCTATTACACTGTCCATTATGTATTGCTATTACACTGTCCATTATGTATTGCTATTACACTGTCCATTATGTATTGCTATTACACTGTCCATTATGTATTGCTATTACACTGTCCATTATGTATTGCTATTACACTGTCCATTATGTATTGCTATTACACTGTCCATTATGTATTGCTATTACACTGTCCATTATGTATTGCTATTACACTGTCCATTATGTATTGCTATTACACTGTCCATTATGTATTGCTATTACACTGTCCATTATGTATTGCTATTACACTGTCCATTATGTATTGCTATTACACTGTCCATTATGTATTGCTATTACACTGTCCATTATGTATTGCTATTACACTGTCCATTATGTATTGCTATTACACTGTCCATTATGTATTGCTATTACACTGTCCATTATGTATTGCTATTACACTGTCCATTATGTATTGCTATTACACTGTCCATTATGTATTGCTATTACACTGTCCATTATGTATTGCTATTACACTGTCCATTATGTATTGCTATTACACTGTCCATTATGTATTGCTATTACACTGTCCATTATGTATTGCTATTACACTGTCCATTATGTATTGCTATTACACTGTCCATTATGTATTGCTATTACACTGTCCATTATGTATTGCTATTACACTGTCCATTATGTATTGCTATTACACTGTCCATTATGTATTGCTATTACACTGTCCATTATGTATTGCTATTACACTGTCCATTATGTATTGCTATTACACTGTCCATTATGTATTGCTATTACACTGTCCATTATGTATTGCTATTACACTGTCCATTATGTATTGCTATTACACTGTCCATTATGTATTGCTATTACACTGTCCATTATGTATTGCTATTACACTGTCCATTATGTATTGCTATTACACTGTCCATTATGTATTGCTATTACACTGTCCATTATGTATTGCTATTACACTGTCCATTATGTATTGCTATTACACTGTCCATTATGTATTGCTATTACACTGTCCATTATGTATTGCTATTACACTGTCCATTATGTATTGCTATTACACTGTCCATTATGTATTGCTATTACACTGTCCATTATGTATTGCTATTACACTGTCCATTATGTATTGCTATTACACTGTCCATTATGTATTGCTATTACACTGTCCATTATGTATTGCTATTACACTGTCCATTATGTATTGCTATTACACTGTCCATTATGTATTGCTATTACACTGTCCATTATGTATTGCTATTACACTGTCCATTATGTATTGCTATTACACTGTCCATTATGTATTGCTATTACACTGTCCATTATGTATTGCTATTACACTGTCCATTATGTATTGCTATTACACTGTCCATTATGTATTGCTATTACACTGTCCATTATGTATTGCTATTACACTGTCCATTATGTATTGCTATTACACTGTCCATTATGTATTGCTATTACACTGTCCATTATGTATTGCTATTACACTGTCCATTATGTATTGCTATTACACTGTCCATTATGTATTGCTATTAGACTGTCCATTATGTATTGCTATTTTGGCCTATTATCAACTCAACTACTGTAGATTATGTGGGTAGTGACCTATTTCAACATTATTGATTTAATATTTAATTACAGTATTAGAAATATACAATAAAGATATACAGGTATATAATGTATGACTGTGAGTAGAGATCACTGTCATCTAACTGATTGTTTACTATTTTTGTCAATGATCATCTCAACTCTGGACAGTGACCTCTTTTTAACATTGCTTTCTGTTATGAATCTTGTGATATAAAACGGACCACTGATTTAACATCTTTAAACCTTTCCCTGATCATTATGCAATATTATAAACAATGTGTATAGAGGTATGGTACGGTAAAAGCTGTCTGGGTAATTATGAAGGTTAGGGTTGGCAACCATTACTGACATAGCACCCACTCAGCTATACAATAACACAATTATGCAGTATGTATTTTTCTTCTCAAATAATAACGATATTTAAACCAATAACAATTAAACAATTTAAATAATATTATAATATTCAATATTTACATTACCCATAGGGCATATTGCAAAAATAACTTCACAAAAAAAACATGCACTTTCAACAAAAACTGTACAAGGTCTTAGAGAAAATGTCTATGACCAGATAAATTAAACTGCATTGAATTTCTTCTCACAGACTACCAAATTGTACTGATACTGAATGATGATTGATCATCAGCTAAACACAGTTGTGAACAAAACACATTCCATCCTAAAATGAACCTTCAAGTAACCTCATGAGATTTATTGAATTTATATGCTTGACTACAATCAGGCATTACAAAACTAATCATTTTAATTCTCACCTTAATTAGATTGGTGAAAAAAAACACTAAGCAAGTGTGAAACCACTTAGGTAAGAGATGTAGATGCCAGAAATCTTTCTCGCACCACCCTGGAAAAAATCTGGATCTGGTGTGTATAGAGAACACTACTGAACTATAGTAAACCAAACAACCTTTCTGGAGGTGTAACACCTGACACTGCCTGTAAAAAATTGTCCGGCTCTCTCATATACAGTATCTACCCACCCCTCCACCCACCACACACATACAGTGCCATACCCAAGTGGTTTCCTCTCAGCCCAAAAGCTCGCTCCCTCAGTGTTCCACATTGAAAATGCCCGAAGCAAAAAAATCACTCAGGTAGTTAAAAATTACCGGCGCTAATGCACTTTCGCACCTAACTTTTAATTCTTATTTTTTTTACCTGAATTTTCTTCTCACAGTCACAACACATAATTATAAAACATTTTTACATGATTCAACCACTCATAAAGTACATTTTTTCAACAAAAAGATATCTTTATAAATATAGGTTGATACAGGGTTTCCGCGCTTGCTAGCATGACGAGCTGTACTTTTTTGTAATCAAGAAAGAAATTGCCAGAATGTCCGAGTCAATTCTTAAATTTTGAAACCATTAAAGGCCAGTCTTATAATTTTAATTGTAATTTTCTCATGAAACATCCGACAACAAAATGTGGCATCATGCAGTACCATTTTTTTAAACTTTCTTGTCGTAATCGAGGTTAATCGAACCGACGTTTATCATTGACTTTAATAGTTGTTTTTCTGGATTTAGGCCTAGGCCCCTAGGCCCTATTTTTCGATCTGTGTACGCATTTGGATCATTACTAATTTTTGAAGTAATTATTTCATGTGAACACACATAGTCAAACAACAGCACCATACAATATAAAGAATGACATACTGTACAATACGGCAAATAGATAAGTTTTCATAAACATTTAATCAAAAAACTTCACGCTGCAATTCTGGCAATTTCTTACTGATTGCAAAATGGCAGCCCCTCGTCGTGCTAGCGAACACAGATTCGCTGTACTTATTTGTGGGCTTATTTGTTGAAAAAGGTACTTTGTGAGTGGTTATATCAGGTGAAAATGTTTGTTAATTATATGTTGTGACTGTGAGAAGAACGTTGAGGTAAAAAAATTAAGAATTAAAAGTTAGGTGCGAAAGTGCATTAGCACCAAAATTACCTAATATATCACCCTATATTTTTCCCCCACCCTGCTTAATCTTAAGCTTTTAACTCCACCTTTCCCACCCACTCAATTTCAAGACTCCTGGTACGTCACTGCCCTACAGACAAATCCTGGTTTTCCACTCTTTTGTAGGCCTACCTCTTCCTAACTGTACGTACAGCAGAGAAGGTAATGTAATTTTTAAAGCCTAAACATATCGGAAATGTGGAAATGTAATCAGAGTACGTGTATAATATACTTATCATGAATGGCCTAATTTATTGCTCCATCAATGGTCCATCAAACTTACGATTTTTGTTTAGGGTGGTATTTCAAAGTTCCGCCAAGGGCTAATTCTTCAATGCTTGTGCCAGACTCCGCTGAAATACCAAGACGTTTTTGTCGAGTTCGTTGGTTTTGGATAACTTGGCGAGTAACTGGCCTAAGCACAGAACGGTACTTATCCAATTCGTTTTGTAAATGACAAATTATTTCCTCTTTCTCGTCAAGTTCTAGTTCTAATTCGTCAATCAAATCGTCTCGTTGTCTTAATTCTTCTATCTTCTGCTGAAGCGCGTATTGAAGGTCACGTAACGTCGCCATCCCGATCTGCAAAAAGTTGAGCGAAAACTGAACTTGACTGGTTCCACGCCAGGTGGTAATAAACTGATCCACGCAAGGACAGATATTGGAGTTCAGTCGCTGTGAACATCAACAAGATCGTTTTCAAGAACGTTATAAAAATAACATAGGTTTCAGAAGTTTAAATTTTCAATCTTAAAGCAAGCGATATGCTTCACCTCACTCCGATGCTTTCAACGGTTATCGACACCGCTAGCCATAATCAGCCAGAGACTAAACCATCTCCTTTTTAAAATATTCTGACCACATAATTCAATCTCACCCTACAACTAGTCGTATCAGGCTTCATTCGTATAATCACGAAGGCGAGAAAGAATACCGGACAAATTATTTTTCCAGACTTCAGCAGACAGAGATTATAAAAATTAAATTCCAGTGTGTTATATGCAACAATCTGCGTTGTCTATCCATCCATGACATCTAAACATTGATAACTGAGATTGACTTATCTCTGCAGTTAAGCACATGCGATTGCGATCCTCAACGATCACGAAGACAACTGAGCCCCAATTCCCAGCCCCTGGTTCAATGCTAAATTAGCATTCTCTGTGTCCAAGCGATTTGAAAATCCCGTATTTGTCTTACAACTATCTTGTTTCATTAGTATTCGTAAAAACACAAATTTAGACGGGCAACAAATATACAATATATTAAGCAACGAGGATACATATTTAAGAACACGGCAAATTAAACCAGCGCCACAACTTTTGCTCAGGCTGTAGAGGGCGGCGTAATTACTTTTGTCTTTTGTCCAGAAGATGTCGACAGTAAGTGCCCGTCAAACTTTATTGGGTTGTTGGATCGTGGGAAGAAAAAACCAATACAAATATTAGACGAAATAAATAGGCCTAGATCTTGTAATTTAAAAGCAAATTTGACTGTCAACTAAACTTAGTATATTCCTAATGACACTCATATACAGTACTTTGAAAATTAATATTTTCTCGATTTTTTTTTTTTTTACAATGGAAGCAATTAAAATTGAATTTTTCATGCTATTTAAGTTGTATTTTTGCACATTCGGTAGGTCATTCAAGCCGTTGACCGATTTAAATATCTTGGCATCTGGTTTGACCCATCACTTTCTTGGAATGTGCATGTTGACAAACTTTGTTATAAGGTGAGCGGTAGAATTTCTCTTCTGGTTAGATTACGTTGTTATATTGATAAAAACTCTCTTAATTAATAAAATAAATCTCTCATATTACATTTATTTGATTATTGTGGTTCTGTTTGGGGAAATTGTGGAAAGGGTTTATTAGACAAGAGAAATTACAGAATAGAGCAGCACGTGTTATACTTACGGCTGATCACCGAACAAATTTAGCTCAATTACATACTTCTCTTGGTTGGTCATTTCTTAACGAAAGTAGAAATAACCATTTAGTCACCCTTGTTAACAAATGCTTGAGTGGCAGAGTCCCTTCTCTCCAAAACACTTTCACCCCAGTTGACAGTGTACATAATATTCTACCAGATCCAGTTCTGCAGGAAATTTAATTTTGCCTAAAGTCAGAACTGTGGTAGAAGAAGTTTTACTTTTAGGGGTTCTCGAATTTGGAATGCGGGGGGTAGGTAATTTTTTACTTAATTCGTGTTTGGATTTTTTTTAATGTTCTGTGTTGTTTTTCTTGAGATTTTAATGTTTTATGTGTACTGGGCCCTCTGGGAGAACAGTAACTTCTTACTGAAGAGGTAACCCAGTATAAAGAATAAATAAATAAATAAATAATAAATAAACATCACATTTTGTAATAATTATAAACAGATACAGTATTTCGGGGGAAAATTCAGTAAAGATTCAGAGGGACAAATAAGATGTCCTTCAACAGAGGCTCAACTCATCATGCCTCCTATATACAGTAGTTTCCGTTTCTGTGTAATCAGAATAAATGTATTACCAAGACACAAAAAAGGTTGAATCTCGGTTGTACCATGGAGGAACCTCCATGGTTGTACAATCTCTTAAACTCTAAATATAGTAAATTATTTACTAGGCCTCCACGAAAATACATGACTCAAGATTCAAACTTTATTCTCAACCATTTCTGGAAATTCCATCGTTTGCATACACACTTGGGCCTACATATAAATAATAGAAATAGAGACTTCTTACACCACACTTGTTTAGCGTTTCAATTTCTTTATACTGTATATATGTTTCCCCTTAAAGTTTTAAAAGTGTTGTTGATTTGGATGCAGCGTTAGGTATTGTCTAACGTGTGCCGCCGATACAAAAGTGCTATCAAATAATTATCTAGGCCCTATCTGTCTGGATTTCTATGAATATTAATTTCAAGAGTAACCTTTGACTCGCAGAGATGAGAGACTACTGGGTGAGCGATTCCACGATTGCGACCTTTTCCAGAAATAAAAATTCCCCATGCAAAAAAATGGAAGACCTAGGCCTACGTCACTTATGAATATTAAACAAACTAGTCTGGTCATGGAGGATCCTCCATGGTCTGGTGCAATGCAATACTTAGTTTAGCGCCCTCAAATTGATTATAACACGCGACAACTTCGCCGGTAGTTGCTCAATACATTTAAGCGTGACGAAATTATCACGGACATTCAACAGTGACAGTCGCACCACACTTTATGAACTCTGATTTGACATCAAAATATTTTAGTCCGACTGACGTACGAATTAGTTGAACGCTAAACAGTTTGACACCTTTAGGAAATTAACTTGTTTTGTTATCAAATCACAATCGGTAATCACTACACTACGTGATGACAGAGATTTCTTCCGATCATCGAAGCCATTAAAGTTATCATGGTAATCAATTGCATTAAAATATTTAACATTAGATAATATTATTATAATCGTATAGAGACAGACTAGTCGTGTCGTCACGACGCCAGGTGGCGCTATCTGTTGTCAACAGACGTTGGTTACCGTTCATTACACCTGAATGACTTCATAGGCTTTCTGGAATAGGCATTTTAAAATCTAATATTTTACCATCAAAATGTACTAAAACTACAAAAGCTCGCATTATATTAGTTATCGAACACACATTTAATCATCAATTAAAATTTACAAAAATAAATACAACAGATACAACATCTCAATAATTACGTAAGAAATGGGGATCAATGCTTTGTTAGTGGCGAAAAAGGCGTCGGGTTAAATTCATTTTGCAACGATAGCAACGGAGTAGTATCACGTGGTATCGTGACGTAACACTGTAGTACTCTACAATTTTTACGATATAATAAAAAAAACTAAACCCACTATAGCAGCTAAATTACCTCCAGCTTACATGTTGAAGAACATTAAAGCAAATTTGCATTTCTGTCGACAGCGCTTAGAGTCAGTTTCAGCGTTAGAGTCAGTTTCAGATTCTTTTACTGACATCACTAAACGAAATAGTATTACAATCACTAGACAATTAAAGACAAAACGAGACAAGAAACAAAAAAAAACAAAAACAAAAACAAAAACAAAAATCAGAGAGAGAGAGAAAAGAAGTTTGGCCTATAATCCCATTTCCTTTCGCAAGTTAAAGGCTTGTTTTATGAAGGTAGCTAGTATAGTCAGTAGATGTCATAACACTGATGAAATTTACATAATCGTCATTAATTAATTTTGATAACTTAATCAAATTAGACTTTTATACGAACTGTGCTCTATGAATTTGAACTATGAACTCCGCAGCTATGACGTCAGCATTGGGCAGTCTCTCTGTTTAAAGGGACACAAAATATATACTTACTTATTTTACTTACTATAATAATTATGACAATGCTATTACAAAGCATACGGTAGATTTTGTTGTTCTTCAAAATAGATAAATCATGCGAGAGAAAATTTATACATAGCGCCCTCTTTCGTAAATATCGCCAAGTAAATTGACACGCCGGCTAATTTGATTTATATTTAACAGACTTTAATCAGCAACTTGATCGATAAGATCTGGTGCCTTTAAAATACCAAATAGTTATTATATGGTTCGATCGAAACACCTAGTGCGTGGTGCACTTTAGATGTTTCCGTAACTTGATTTGTAGAAAAAGCAATCGAGTTTTGTAAAGCCATAGAAAAAGGAAATCGATACGAATCGATACTTCTAGACCATTAATACGTCAGTCAAACGGGTTCAAAACTATTAGTTAGTAGTATCACGACATATCCTATCATATATGATCTGTGGTGTTGGTTATATGACAAAAAGCAATAGACCAAAATTAAATCCTGAAAGATGTTTAGGAAAGTATAATACATACTCCAAGTATTGAAATACACGCCATCGTGTTGGGATTCAATATTTCGACATTAATTATGTCATCATCAGGAAAGATGTTTACAAATCGTTGTACTGTCTGTGTACGTAGTTGTGGTGTTGTGTGCTAGGTAAAATGTTCTGTAGTTTATTTCTTCTTTTCATTAACATTTAAATGAACCAATCAATGAACCGATCAATCAATGAGCCAACCAATCAATCAATCAATAAAACATATATATTTCTATTAGAAATAATGAGAGTTGGTGAGTGAACACTTTTGGTGCAGGACTGAATAATGGATGCTGTAGTTCCCGATTATTCTTTGGTGAAAATATTTTAATAAAATCCGAACGCTGCTAAACGCTTTAAAAATTACGGTAGTTGCCGAGACATGTAACATGAAATTATGTAACTCCATTGATGATGTGTTCTTTTTACTGTGTAAGTTGTTACTTTGGAAATACTTGTAATTATAGATATCCTGGCAAACATAGCGGACAAGAAACTAATTGAGGCTAAAGGTTTCTGATCTGAAAATGAGAAGCCCAATGTGATAAAATACTGTGGAAAAAACATTACATCCCAGGATACCAGCCACCCACATATATGTTGCCAAACGATCTGGTTTCAGATTTATTACTTCACCTACGTATATAAAAATATCGGCAACTTAAGATGATTGAAGAAGTGCAATATATTCTGAACCACTTCAAGCAGTTATAACTGGACTCCGGCAATCGGCGATATGCAAAGAGAATGGAATTTCCGGAGTGTAGCTCAAACTTAACAAAAACTGACCAATCAGAACAGGCCAATGAATACGCGCTTGTCCCACCAAACGCATGTGATTTACGTACGTTTAGTAAGTTTTCGTTTTGTAGGACCCTCCAGGCAACAATCCAAGGGGCGGGCTTAGCAGAAAGTTCAGCGAACAGCAAAACATTAAACGTGAATAAGACGGTTGGCTTTGGAGCTACATTCCACCTTAAACAGACACTAGGTACAAATCTTGGCCTACAATTGTTGTTCAGAGAAAAGATATTAGAAACGAACCGAACATTATCACCTTAATTGATTCGGACAATTATAAATACGGCACCGTACCAAACATATGCCTTCAGATCTATAGTCGTAGGTTCCAAGATGACACTAGTATTAATGTTACAAGTAGGACTAAGCCTTCAACTTAGAAATAACTACTATCATCATTTGGATATATAAAAATCAATGAATGATTAAGGATAATATGCAAGGCCGAGAAATCTTTGAAATGTTTCAATGTAGTACATTATTCCACCTGTTGGAGAATTTGCAATCTGAACACAGCATAACAACAATTTCTTTCTATATCAGCCTGTGGTTGCATTAAATCT